AACAGGCAAAAAATAATTTTCACTTTTCAGTTTAAACCATCCTTAAATGGAACGTAATATAAGTGAAAATTATTTGGTGTAGAAACGTTGGGTTGTTTATTTGCAGTATCAATGACTTTTGCGAAAATATCTTCTCGGGAAAAAAGTGTTAGGAAAAAATATTTCTTTCAGATGTTATGCTGGAGTAAGAAATCCAATTGAAAAATAGAAAAATCCTTTTTCGCCTTGTTAACTCTTTTGTTATTTTCTTCTCTCCAGAACATTTTTTTCACACGGTTGGATACATAAATTAGAATGTAGTATCATTTTTTTTTAAATGAGGGAAAGATTGTCGTTTATAGTCCTAGAGAAGTATATTTTATGTCCCTCCAATTTTTCTAACTTATATATTTACGAATCTTATTAATTCATTTTTCTTAGCTATAAATGCCACTCCTTACAGAACTTCTTCTTGATTGATTGATTCATTCATTCATTCATTTTCTACTGTTTATAAATTTGCAGGTTATTTAAAGCCAGAAAAAATATTTTAAAATTTTTAAGTTTTTCTATTTTTTTTTAGATAATAATGATTTAATGATACAAATATTACTAATTAACCCATACCTGGGGGAGAAGATGTTGATTCATAACTTCCGCACGGATATTGTGTTAATATCACGAACACAACTGCAATTGGAACGCGACTGTCCGGTTAACAATTCCGAGCCATTATCCATTGCACCAACTGCACATCTAAGTTCTGTGGCACCATTTAACGAGGCAGAAAAAGAAAAGAAAGAAAAGAAAGAAAAGGAGAGGCTAAGGACCGAATCATGGATGATAAGCAGAACACACACACGGCTAAGAGACAATGGATAAGGGATATTTTGATAAGTAACAAATGGCGAAAGGTGTCATTACAATGACAGGGAAATTCTGAGTAAAAAAGAAAGGGAAAGAAAGAAAGAATCAGATATGTTTTGGCGACGGCTGTGTTATCTAAGGATATGAAAACAAACTATTGGTACGGGAAGGCATCTTATTATCAACTACTGACCGACTGGCCAAAGAAAAATTCAAATGAAAATGTTATTTCGATAAGTGACGAAAAACAGGCAACTAAAAGGACTTTGGACAGATATGAAAAAATTAAAAGCCACACACGACCGATTTCCTTCGACGGAACATCCTTGGCCTGCGATAATAAAATTATGTTATCAGAAATATGTACCGAAGGGAAATGAATGGGAATTTAGAAATGTCTTTTCGGGGCGAAGTTGGCCGTGTTAAGAAGACCACCCATTCGGATAATTAGCGATAAAATACCTGACGAAAACCACGTGTAGAACGCCATTGTTCATATTGTCCCGTTTGCGGCTAGAGAAATGATAACGGCGATTAAGAGGAAGAAAAGGAAAAGAAGGGATAATTTTTTTAGTTAACAAGATATTTTTTTCCTGAAACAAAGCTGCAGATTCGTCCACGCCCGACTAAGACATCATTGGTCAAAGTGGTGATCACGTGACGCACGAAGGAGGCTGTCGCCGCCCATCCAGAGTGTAGGTATGAGAAGCTGCTACGAAGAAGTGGGGAGGCAGTTCACGCCCTCTGAAGTATGGTGAGAAGGTGGAGTGAGGAAAGTTTCCAAAAATGGAAAAAGTAGAAATTCCTAACTAGAGAGGTGGATATGTATTTAGAATTATCGAGGAAACCCCGACGCCGACAGACCCACCCCGGTTTTGGTCGGCGTCCATATAAGCGAAGCCACAACGAGCAGAAATCAGTTCCAGTGAGTTCAGTTCAATTTCAGTTTGAGTTGGAGTTGCAGCGAAGAGTCAGTCTCCAGTTGAAGCCGCCTCGCAGATAGCTGACCAAGATTCACGCAAATTCCGGACTCCTCTTCAACCCAAGAACAATTATTTTGAAGAGCGACCCAGATCCAGACCATCACAATAAGTTTTTTCGACTTTCGTCCAAAGACACACTGAAACACCAATTTCTTAGAGAGCAATCAACTGAAGCGTTAAAAAAAAAAAAAACTTGCCTAACGGAAAACGACGTGTCACAATCTATAGAACGGGTCGGGAGATAGATGCAGTCCTATGTATCGAACAACTAGACATAAAGTTTGTTACCTTTTTCTGTGATACTTTGAACTTTTGAGTTTTCATTTTATTTTCCTTTATGCATATTTGTGTGGTATCACCCCCGTTGAACTCATTTTGCATTACGGCCCAAACCACTGTTTGATCTCGTCTGCCTAAGATCAATTCACAACGTGGGTAGGCAGACTGGGGATCAATGCAGTTACCTTGGTAACCAGGCGTTGGAAGCGAGTTGGGAACGACGAGGCTGATATCAAATCTAACCAGATTCCCACCCGAATCACCAAAAGGTTAGAACGTCACATTTGGGTGCCGCGACCGATACCAAGCCAGTTGGTCGTCACAGGACGAGACAACACGACTGACGCGACAGGCGGACGTCACGTTTGGAGCAGCGAGGGGCGAACAGCTGGCGCCGCGGCGAGGACGTCACAATTGGTGCTGTTTAGGGACGTCACAGTTGGTGCCGTGGTAGACCAGAATAGAACGCCACAGTTGGCGCTGCGACCAGGGGGCGACGTCACTTTCAGAACACCTGGTGTTTCCAAACGGCACTGACCAGGCTCGACGTTGCTTAACTTTGATGATCGTAAGGGAATCGGTGTTTCAACGTGACTTTAAAATATTATATGATTGCAAATATCATAGGATTCAACGAGAGAAACGCTTTAAAACGTTTAGCAAAACAAAGTCTTGCATAATAAAATGTATCGCCTGTCAACTGCCGTCTACTCGTTATAGAATTCTTTAAATAACATCCATCTTTTATCAGATTAGATAATTGCGTAATTTAAGACACTTATTCTGTTCAAGCTTAAATAGGACTTTGTCAGGTGATTTTCAGAACAGGGGCCATATTGGTTTGGGATAATCAACTTGATAATATTATGGCCTGCAATTCATTCCGAAATGTCTAAACTGTCTATGCTGTATACAATCGTTTTCGCAGATCAATGATTAAAAATAATCCGAGCTAATGAACCATGTAGCCATTCTTCCTTATATAGCGTGGACTGACGCTCTAGAATCACAGTGATCTTTAACAAGTAACAAACACAGCATCACTTGAAGACATTCAACAACTAAAACTGGGGAGAAAATAATGGTATCATTAAAATGTTTGACTTTTCACATAATTTTAAACAAAAGGTTATAAAATAAGTGACAGTATTAGAAAGAGCAAAAACAAATACTCGACGAGAGAAGCCTAAACTGACTGTTCGGTCAATGAATGCCGAATGTTTATATATAAGGAGTCTGTTAATGTTACCGTTACTAATAGCGTTGTCTTGTTAAACTTTATCACTGAGTCGTGGGTACAATCCTCATTGGGTACCCCATAAAAATTTCGACATTAAATAACTTAAGAAAAGTTGACATGTTGTAAAATCAACCAAACTATCCTAAAAATTCAAAACCGGCAGGGTAGACTATTTTCTCTAGACAGGCACGCGTGATGCAGTCTACTTTTCTACTTTCCTCTCAACTATGCACTTTATTACGTTAGGCTCCATTGATATAACAATCCGATCAAGCCAAGTAGCCAGTTGCTTTTTTTATTTCTTAACTTTGACTGCTTTCCTTTTGTTGGAAAGATGAATGGAGGCTACTCTCAGCCATATTTTAATATCATATCCTACAATTTTTGTTAGGTTGAGAGCCAAAGTGTATACAGGTGTTACGTTTCAAATAACAAATCGTTACTTTTTATACAGGGTCTTTTATATACAAATACATAAAGGAGAGAAAATAATGGAGTGTAATACATGACAATTCTCCAGACTTGAATAATGTATCATGCTTTCTCTTTTGTATCTGTTCTTGATTATAATGTAAAGTCTGACCAAGGTGCACTAACGGGTGTTCCTTATAACCTGGAAATTATTTCCACGATTTCCATTCGAAAAATGTCCTCATCTTTGTTGATATTATCACAACGATTCGGCCGTTTTGCACTTCGGGCTTCTTTAGGTATCTACGGGTCCAGGGCTTTCAAGGAATTTTAAACAGAACTATTTATTTAACCCTAGAACACTAACCATCAATTAAAGTTAACACCACTAATTACCATAGGTATATTATACCCTATTTTGAAAATATCAAAAAAAAAAAAAAAATATATATATATAAAACTTTACTTGAAATATGTTACATGCAGGCACTTCAAACTTTGTAATTTGATTTCACATTAATAGGAACTGAAAAACATATTATTTAGGTAAAAAAAATCAGGTACTGAAAATTGTAATTAAAAATAGGAAAATTTGCGCTGAGTGTATTATACCCATGGTTAGTGTTTTAAGGTTAACTTAAGATTATTCTTGTAGAATATGTTTCAGTTGGATTAAAGCTTTCAGTTTGGTGGCGAGAACAATCCTAGATTGAATATAGTGTCCAGTTTAAAACTCCCAATAAGTGGAAACATTGTGATACAAAAACATCAATTTTGTGGACATTCCTCTAAATGTAAATAAAATAAATTATAATAAATCCTCTTCCCTGAATTCTTGGCTATTTTTATTTAGTTTATATTCTAGCCTTCCTAAATTTCTTTTTCATATGTTGAGGAGATACAATGTTGCTGACGTATCAACAATAAGCTCTCACTCGATGAGAGTCGTATCTAAATAATTCAAGCAGAACAAATAAGAAAGTGAAATAAAACGTTCATTACTTATTGAATATGTCTCTTCGCGGAGTTTCCGACGAATTCAGTGTTTGAGTACCAATGCATTTCTGTATTCGGTGCACTTAGAGATGATTGAACATTGGTTAATCGAATCGACAGCATTTATACGGCATTGTTTATTTTTATATATAAAAAAAACAACAAAAAAAAACTTCTGTTTGAAAGAGGCTTTCTCTGGTTTTAAAACGTTTCTGTATTTTGACGGCGTTGCGTTTTTCTTCTGTATGGATTATTCCACGCTCGATATTGTTTTTGCTTCTTTTTTTTTAGCGAAACCTCGTTCATCCGAGATTTCGTTTCCGTGAGATTTCCTCCTTTATTTATTTATTTATTTACTTTTGAAGAGGAAGTAACTCGGCCAGGGCCGTTACGCCTTCTCTGACGTCATCCGTTTGGAGAGTGAAAGAAAAAAGGAAGATCGATTCGTCCGCAAGTGAGAAAATCGATTGGGATTGATAGAATGTGTATATTAAGTGTTCAGTCACATGTCTGTATGGTTAAGGATGGGCGGTGAAGATTGTTTGAGGCAAAAGAATATTCAGAGAGACGACAGAATAGGCGAGAAGAATGTTGAGTCTTGTTGTTATAAGGGGGTTAAAAAGTAGAAAAAATGTCTTCGAAATAGTAAAGAATTAAAGAAATATTACAGGATTGGCAGAAGACTTCTGAGACAGTGAAAAATCGGTAACTAAATAAAATGTAAGAAATGGTTTAGTTTCTGTAAAGCATTTTTCTCTATTGCTATGCGACTTCATGTTTCTGTTACACATTTTCCTCCCTCTTCTAAAACATTTCCCAGAAAGTTCGATATCGGATAATCATAGTTAAGTAATTCATCGGATCTAGAAGAAACCTCAAAAGAAAGCACTGGACGGCCGTTTCGCCTTATATTTGGGATTCATCAGCAGTGCGCATCCACTACCAATAAGTTAACGAATTAGACTCGGTACAGCGCCGCTCTTCACAAATTCCGTGGTGTAATTTATCCGAATTTCTCTTACTCATGGGACTGTGCCCCTACGAGACACGACTACTATCCTCAAGACGCTTTAGGAATTGTATCGTACATATATTTCGAATTTTAAACAATGAAATAAAACTATCAAGCATAATACTTGATCTTCTGTTATTACTGTGTTGAGTTTGAACAATTCACAAAATCTTTGCCATTCTCTACATTTAAAACAGTCAGATCACAATGGGTATTGTTGCCATATATGTGTAGCAGCTGCACAAGCTTCACTTTACCAGTCTCGATAAAGTCAGAACCGTCTCCACATCCTTGTCAGTGATAAATTATTTCCCACCCTACAACTACTTTCTTACAGACGAAATGTCGCTAGCCAATCACTGCCCGATCGCTATTTCTATGGCGAGCTAAATTCTTTATTTCCACCATTTCTGATCTACACGATTACTAGAGTTCTTAGAGTTGTTCAAAGATATTCTTGTCAGAATGATTAGTAGTTTTTGTATTTCTTCTTCGTATCTTTACTTATGTTATTTTCTGGTTTATACCTTACACGCTTCTTTCTTTCGTTCTTTCTTTCTTTCGTTCTTTCTTTTCTTTCTTTCTTTTTTTCTTGCGTTATTTCTTTTTTCTCTCTTGCTTTCGTTCTTTATTTCTTTTTTTTTCTTTCTTGAGTTCTTTCTTTCTTTAGTTTTTATTTCCTGATTTCTTTTTTCTGTCTTTCTTGAGTTCTTTTTTCTTTCTCTTCTCTCTTCGCGCCTTTTCTTTCTTTTCTATCTTGCGTTCTTTCTTTTTTCTCTTGCGTTCTTTATTTCTTCCCTTTCTTTCTTGCGTTATTTCTTTTTCGTTCTTTCTTTATCCCTTTCTTTCTTTCTTTCTTTCTTTCTTTCTCGTCTTTCGTTCTTTCTTTTCTGTTCTTTCTTTTCTGTTCTTGTCTTTCTTTCTTTTCTGTTCTTGTCTTTCTTTCTTTCTTTCTTTCTTTCTTTTCTGTTCTTGTCTTTCTTTCTTTCTTTCTTTCTTTCTTTTCTGTTCTTGTCTTTCTTTCTTTCTTTCTTTTCTGTTCTTGTCTTTCTTTCTTTCTTTCTTTCTTTCTTTGCTATGTGTTCTTTGATTCTGTTTTAAATCATCTTTCTTTCTTTTATTCTTTTCAAAACTTTCGGTGCCCTTTTTGATTCCATTTTGAAGCCTATTTTCTTTTCTTCCCTCGGTTTATTTATCTTCATTTTTACCCCATCAATGATAGAGTTCTGGATCATTCTTTCTTTCTTTCTTTCTTTCTTTATTTTCAATTTTTTTCGATTCCATTTTGAATCTTACTTTCTTTCATTTCCTTGCCATTCTTTTTTACTTTTCTTGGTTTCGTTTGTATGCTTCCATTTTTTTCTAATTTGATTCTTTCTATATTTCGTAAGTTCTTTCTCAATCTTTGTCTTACTATCCCCTTTTGCGCATTCTTGTAAGACAGTCTCACCTGTATTTGTTGCCTTGCGAAGACACAAAACATTAATGTATCTGACGATATTATTATTTGCTTTCTTATTTTTATTTTGTTCCTCCTACTGAAATTCACCGAAATGTTTTTTCTTTTTCTTTCGTTCATTTTTTTTCTTCGATAAACATTTCTCTATCTGATTTAGTTCGTCTGTTTTATAATCTCCTTCGTTTTCTTCTTTCAGTTTTTCTTCTCTTTTCATTCCCTCATTATTCTAAATTTCCTTCGCTATTTTACAAAGTGTTATCGATAAACTATTCAAAATATCATCGATTTTTACAACGTTGCATCTCGAAGAATTTTAATGCCGTGTAGCTTTTTACCAAATTTTCGCCAAATTGGAATAATGGTAAAATATCAAAAGACTTGACAGAATAAAAAAAAAACCAAAAAAAAAAAAAAACTTTCACTTATTTCATTCCTTTTGATTTTTATTTTGGTTTCACTTACAAATGAGCCAGAGTCTTTTGGCAGTTCGATATTTTTCATAAAAAAAGCCTACATTTAGCTCTAATATATCAAATCCAGTATTTCTAATTTCTTTCATTGATTTTCCCACCAATCTAACTTTTATTATCATTTTATTTCATGATTTTCCCGCGAGTAATATATCGTTGTTTTCATAGGGAATCAAGAGACAGAAAGTCACTTCAATACTTTGTAATTTTTCTCACCATTATTGCTTATTTCAGTCATTCTATACAGTAAAATATTTCAGTCATAGGGTGTTTCAAACACTCCTAACATCATTCCCAATATATTTGGTGATTTTCTCAAGGAGCCAATAACAATGGGGTTTTATGTGGGAATAAATATTGGGCACATATTTCTCACCAGATTCTGACCACCGAATGCAGATGTGCGTGACTTCACACCTGCACTAGATTTTGCAATCCTGACAACCAGAATATAGAATAGATATAAATTTCAACCACCACCCCAGACAACCTCAAGAAGGCTATCTCAACAATCACAGGAGAATCCAGAGTCCTTCTGTCGGACCGTGGAGAAGGGCGACTGCAGGTCTCACATCACAGACGGGCTGAGAATAACTGATGCGTTAATGGATTGAATGAAAGATTTTTAATGAAGATTAAAGATTTCGTTATAATTTAATCGGCATTCCAACAAGAGATAATATTTGAACATACCTATTTCAGAATTAATAAGTTAAATAGTTTTCACATGAGATGTTTAAGAAATATTTTAAAAATTAAATGGCAAGATAGGAGCGGGAATACAGGAGTTCTCAAAAGAGTCATTTAGTCAACTTATCCCATCTAGCGATCTCGGAGTTTTAGGGAACTTTGACACGAAGCAAGCATGGATACCTGTAGAATTCCCAAACATCTACTGTATGGGGACCTGTCTGAGGGTATGCGTAACGTTGGAGAACTCAATCTTCGCTTCAAAGACCAGTGCAAAACGTCTATGATGGCATCTATCAATATTATGAGCTGGGATGCAGTTGCCCGGAGTCAAGTGAGTTGGAAAGCTGCTGTTCTCACGATCTGGGAAGATTCTAGGATGCCGTCGAGTCTAGACAAAGACGCAAGTGTCCCAAGGCATTCTACTGCAGTTCTTCTCGAAAAACGTACCGATCGCACATTAGTTGTATAGCCATGAGCGGGACTGTGTTTATTTTCCGCTTCTGAACGTCGCCTTCGCCGAAAAAAGGTCATGTATATATATTTCAGAATTTAATGAATTCTTTAACAAGGTTCAAAGAAATTGCGGCTTTCCTCTTACAATCTGTTGTCTGTGTCGTGTCCCCTCAGGACGTAGTTGATCATGGCCCTCTCCATCTTCCTGTTCCTTGTAGCTCTTAATATTTTTTATCTTTTTGATATTTCTCTCACGGCATGTTTTAGTATCCACTTGCTCAAGCCCTTCAAATATGTCACGCTCTGTTTTCCTTTGTCCCTCTTTCCCTCAGTCTGTCCTGTGAGTATCAGATTCTCCAAGCCCTCCGTCTCATTACGTGCCTCAGAAATTTCAGCTGCCTCTTCCTGATGTTAAGTATAGCGATATTCATTATTTAATGAATTTTCTCTTTTTGAGTTTTGTCCTGATCTGGCTTGAATTGAGGGATTCATATGAATTTTAATGCTTCAATTATTATGTTAATGCTAATAGTGGGATGAACTCTTTCCTTATAAGGAAACATTCAGCATTCATCTTCCGAGTATTTTGCGTTACTTCCGTTTGAAATTTATAAAAAAGCTTTGCCTTATAAATGTTTTTCAGATAAATCGTCAGTCTTCCTACATGTCAGTGAATGCTGGAGAATCTTCTCACGGATGAAGAAGATACCTGGATCAAGAAGAATGTGGTTCTAGAGAAGAACGCTGAGAATTCCGCGGACTGAACATATGAGCAACGACAAAATTCTAGGGACAATGGAAACAAAAAGGAAGAGACAGTTGAAATTTCTTGGTCACATAATGAAGACAGAAGGCTTGGAAAATTTGACACTCCCAGGGCAGATTGAATGTAAGAGAGACAAAGAATATATTATATACCTGGCAGGACTGAGTGATTGGATGGTGAAACATGGTTTGGGAGAGACAGTAAAAGGTAAAAGTTATTGAGAGCTACACAGGACTGGAAGATGTGGAAAGCCATGATCGCCTACGTCCTGAAGGGACGTTGTACTTAGAAGAAGATATTTTTTTTAGTACTAATCACGGTGGAGTAATGGATAGCGACTCGGAGTGAAGAATCGGAGAGCCGAGTTCGAATTCCAGTCAAAATCTATTAGATTCACTTACACGCTAATACCCTTGGGAAAGGTATGAATCTTTCTTCCCTCCACCAGCTATGAGTAAATAGCAGAACAGACCGGGTTCTATAGCCTTGGATGGCAAGTGATCTAGCGCAGAAAGAAATGGCAACCTACGGCGGAAAAAAAATCTGCTTCATCAATCATGTATCGAAAGATACATGATCGCTTTAACGTGTATCAATATTTCCTTCCTAAGGTTTTATTTAAGTTAGTATGACAACCCAACATTTTGATTATATTATTAATTTCTCTTCTAGTTACACGTACTGTGCATTTATCTGTTGCTACTCTTGGAAGTCTTCAAGAGGTGGTTTTTGTTAATTGTTAAATCTCATTACGATATTGTAGCGTCAATCTGTGTGATCTGATGAAGGATAGTCCTCATTAAGATACTGTTATATACCGTACCTATGAACATCCCACTCCTCATCAAAACGTTGGACACTATTGTAAGTGGAGGTAATATGCTGTCAAAGTAGTCCGCCATTAGCAGTGGTTTACCTACTTCACGCCGCTGGTGAATATTATGCAGATATTATGAAAATTAACATTTCATTTCCAACCTCCATTTTGGTTATTCCTTATTCAGTAACCTTTTCTAGGTTGTAAAAATATATATTTTATTTGCGCAGTACTTATTGGAAAGTGCTCAATATCAGTGATAGAGCTATCATAGTTGTATGGATTTGAGTTTGTAAACCGGGGGTTTTGTCTGATGATCACAAATCGTGAAACCCAGGGTTACAAAATCATATTCAAACTGAATATATATATATATATATATATATATATATATATATATATATATTTACACAACTGAATATATATATATATATATATATATATATATATATATATATATATATATATATAGGATTATTAAATATTCGTGACAGAATTTCTCGGTCAGGAGTTCGCTTCAAGCATACTGTTGGAAAAGGTCAGGTGATTTAAGATAAGGAATCTTTGTACTATTATTTATCATGAGGTCCATTTTACATATATATATATATATATATATATATATATATATATATATATATATATATATATGTATATATGTATATATATATGCGTGTGTGTGTGTGTTATGGTCCGGTTCTTTGTACAAGGTGATAGTACAAGGTAAAACCAATAAAGAAGAACTCGAACACGCATATGGAATAACACAGATATATTACAAACATGAATATATACAGAGAAGTAGAAAGTGTTAGTACAAACAATCAGGTTTAGTAGTAATTGTCTGAACGCGACTCTGTTTCGGACTGCCTCGGAATCGACTGACTGACTCGCTCTAACTTACAGACTCCTGAAGGGCCCCTGACGGACCTCACTCCAGACTTCAGACTGAACAGTATTTTGTCACCCACCACGAGGGTATCATATGGCACAAGGCCCTTAGAACCCGTATAAACAGGTTCAGGGTCGGTTTACCTCCCCGAAAGAGACTCCGCTCTTCGGCGTAGCCTCGTTCGGGTTCCTCCCCGCCCGAAGGCAGAGAGTTGAACCGATCAGCCGGTCGCCCGACTTCGGACTAAACTCCCTGCTTCCTCTTGAGGCGCAGTATTTATTACGTATGGAATAGTCCATTATGTTATTATGGGTAAGGTCCTGCAATATATATATATATATATATATATATAATATATATATATATATATATATATATATATATATATATATATCATATTCCGTACCTATGAACATTAATGGGTATGCCCCAATCCTAATAAATACGGTGGACACTATTGTAAGTGGAGGTAATATGTTGTCTCAATAGTACACCACCAGAAGTGGTTTACCTACTTCATACCGCTGGCGAGTATTGTAATTTATTAATGTTATAAAAATTACTATTTCATTTCCAACCTCCGTTTTGGTTATTCTTGATTCAGTAACCGTTTCCAGGTTACAGGAAATATACAGGCTTCACTCTCTTAAAGGAGTTTTTAATTATTGATCAGAGAAACCTGACGAACTAAATCAGATTGAGAAGTGACAGTTTAGATATTTCTGAACGACTTGAGTGC